AGAGAGAGAGAGAGAGAGAGAGAAAGTAAGAGAAAGTGAAAGAAAGAGCGGGTCTGGTCCCTCTAGTTCCACGGGGCAGGTTGCAGGGGTGGTTGAGGAATTGCAGACAAACCATCCACTCTTTCGCAGCATACACAGTAAATTTGCTTTATGTACATGTGTTACGTAATCAATGCTGTTGCATTCATCGTTGAACTAAATAATTCCACATTTTCAGGGTAACCCAACAAGTTTCTCAAACTAAGCCTTGATACTTTATAGAACTTCATGATTGCGCAAAGCAAGTTCCGAAGACAATTATAGTTCTCATACTTCATTGAATTCGAGAATTTGAATTATTCCGCATTCCCTCAAGATATGAGAACCTGATAATTGGACAGAAGTGCGATTTTAGAACGTGCTATGTGAGCTTTTATCCACTCCATATTATTTTTGTTTCTGAGGAGGGAATACAGGGTGTGTATTGTGTTGCGATGTATATGTTGGGGGGGGGGGGTAGTATCGATAAGGAAAAGCATCAAATGTCTTGGGCTTTTATTATCGATTCCTCTGATTTCTCTCCCCGAGATTAGTTTTGTTTTGTTTTTATTTCTTCCTGCGCTTCATGAAATATTTGGTCATGGGAGGCAGCATCTTGCCACAGAATGGCGAGTTTCGTTTGCCCTTCACGAGTTTCTTTACTCAGTCTGTGAGTTCTTCGATATGATATTTAAATTTTGTTCTTTTTATTCGTTGAAGACTTTTGTTCGACAGGTCAGATACATGTTTACAATCTAAAAACTCAGATTTCTGCCTATACATTTACCACAGATAAAATATTATTTTTTTTCATATGGGAGTCTGCTTCTTTTTAACTTCAATATTTTAAGAGAAGTATAGATAGATCCAACATTAGAGTGAATTATAGATAACAAGTACAATGTACTGAAATGAAACTGGATATTTAATTAAGCAGTCCCTACCTCGACTGAAGAGTTAGATACATGTATCTCAAGTGACAGCAAATCGAAGCAATAAATGGTTAAAATGCACAATCCACATACATCACGTTATTACGCTCTCTCTCTCTCTCTTTCTCTCTCTCTCTCTCTCTCTCTCTCTCTCTGTGTGTCTCTCTCTTTCTTTCTCTCTCTCTTTCATTCTCTCTCATTCTCTCTCTCTCACACACACACTCTCTCTCTCTTTCTCTCTCTTTC